TACTTAATTTTTTAATTGTTGTATAACACACATTCATCCGAGTGTATGAGTGTGCAACGTATAAAAATTTGATGTGGTCCAACTTATATTGTAAATAAAATATTATCAGATTTTATTTTTTTTCCCTTTATTAAAATAGGTTATAGCTAAGGCCAATATTTATAATTTAACCTTTTAAGTTATGTAATTTTACTTTCACGGTCAAATGTGCAATGATGAAAAACCGGACCAGAAAGGTTCGAGTTAAAAAAGCTGCTGGAACATTTTTTCGAATAAAATTGGCCATCATTAAACTATGATTAGTGGAAATCTTTATAAGTATATTATAAAATAATGATATTTAAATCTCTTATTCACAGCACTGTCTGAATCTTTACAGAGCGCATGGCAAAGCATGATCAGCAGCCAAAAGGATACCAGAACTTTCCCAACTTCATATAAAAAAAATACTCCAATTAATAATGTATATTTACAAGAAAAATTAATTTAAAATTATCTGAATTAACTAGTACAACATTTTTAAAACTAAAACATGAAAGAGTGCAATCTCTGAAATCTCATGATCTTGAATTCTGATCTGCAAAAACCAATTACTGACCAAAGGTCCAAAAAACCTTATCTTTTTCAAAACCATTTGCATTTCAGTCCCTTTTGCTTCATAGTTATAAAGATTAGTGAAAAAATGTAATGTATCAGTCCCGCTCTCATGCTCATAGTCGGCACGGATTAATATAACATAAATAACTTTAAGTAGCAGCATTTATTGTAATACTTTACAAATGTATCATATTATTGATTTATGTATCATATTATTGTAACACTCTTAATATAAGTGTTACCAAAAATTAGCAAAAGTATCATATAAGTGTTACAAAAAACTACCAAAAATATTACCTTTGACTTTATGGTAGCACAAACAATTGCAGCGCCAATATTATGTTACTTATTGTCTATAGTAACATTTTATAGTTTTTACGTAACATTTTATAGCTTTTACGTATCATTTCTTTGGTGCTACCTAAAGCCATTTATGTTGTAGTATATGAGATGAGATTTTACTATTTCAAAATCATATTTTAATTCATCGTTCTTTTTGCATGAATGATACGAGTCCATAATGAAGTCATAATTATATATATACGCGCCTTCCAACAGAATGAATTATAAATTGAAATATGATTTTAAAATATTAAATTATATGTTTACCAACTCATGTTATAAGAGAATAAATTACGATATTTTGACACGTACGTGACTGATAATCATATTAAGATGTGCCCACAGTGGTTTAGTGCATACAATTGTATACTTCAAATAATTGTCATATTTCAATGAAAAATCCAAGGGTAATATATTCCAGTTGAAATTTCATTATTTTCTTGCAATGGTATGATATAAATCAATTAAATTATTTCATTATTCAAATAACTTCCCCCCTTTTGCTACATGTCAATAAAAACCATCCTTTTCATCCTTTCTATATAAGCATGTCCTCCAACCAACATCTCATAATAACTATTCCTATTTTTGGCACCTCAATAAGTTAATTTGTCTTAAGGTACGTTACCTTACATATATATCATATCATATATACTCAAGATAATTTAATTAATTTCTATTCAAAGAAGTATCTTATTCTTCTTATGTCTATCTCCAAAAACTCCTTTCTCATTTATTATTTTTCCTTGCTTTCATCATCTTTGTAATTACTGTTCTTTGGCCTTTTCTCATCTTTGCAAGCTATTGTATATTGAGCAGTTACATGAATTTCTGTTTTGTTCAGTCTCGATTTTAGAGACTCAGACAAAATTTTGCAGCTGAAACTGACGTTAGCTAAAGGTTTTTCAGTTTTGTCATCACACTTGAGTTGAAATTAAAGGTGGTTGCGAGCTGGTACCCGATACTTCTCAAGCCGAATTTTANCTCAAGCTTCGAATTTCCCTACCCGATCAATCAGTTTTCTGCATAATCTGATAACAAGAAAAAAGGTATGCTCAAATTTTCTTAATTTTTTTTTTTTTAGTTGTTGTACATAAATAATCTATAATGCAAATTTTGAATATTGATGAATATTTTCAGTGTTTATAGGAAAATACTAGAAAAAAAAATGGAGGGTCCTGATTGGAGCAAAATTCAGCAGCGTGAGTTTGAAGAGAGCTTGATGATGCCCATGATGACCCCATCAAAAAACATTGTCTATGACAATACAAGCAAAATTGAAATGGTCCCAATTAGAGATAATTTCTTGATTAATCATAATCCATCACAATATTTTCACAAAATTGATTGCTCAATACCAAATCTCTTTCCTCAATTGAGTAGTACAAGATCATCTGCAGATTGTACCAATTCTTATTGGGCATCATCATCATCATCATCATCACCCATCAATGAAGCCACATTATTATTAAATCCTTCATTATTCCAACTAAGCACCCCACAACATGGCCCAATTGTTGATTTTGGGCTCAAAAGCCCAATTACGAGCATCTCCCTCGAGGAATCATCCATCGATTGCTTTCTATCGGCATCCAATCAGACAGACACGACTGCAGTCTCGGCCGAAGACAACGACATCTCCTTAATTTTCAGTAAACCCTCACCGAGCAATATTGATTTTACGGTGGGCCGCGTCAAATCGGCCCAACCCGACGCGGGCCCAACCGCCAAAGCCCAAAGCAAGAGAAAGACACCTGAAAGTCAACTGAATCTTGACTTTCTCCAGCCAGTCAAACCAGCTAATGACAACAGCCAAAAACAAGCCGATGGGCCCAAAACCAAACGGGCCCGGCCCGAAAGCGGCCCGGCGCCGTCGTCCAACATCAACTTCCGGCGGACCGACGAGCCCGACCCGGAGGCGATGGCCCAGATGAAGGAGGTCATATACCGGGCCGCGGCCTTCCGGCCTGTTTGCTTTGGGCCCGAAACAGCGGGTAAGCCCAGGAGGAGGAATGTGAGGATATCAAGCGACCCGCAAACTGTGGCGGCCCGGCAAAGGAGAGAGAGGATAAGTGAGAGGATTAGGGTTTTGCAGCGGCTTGTGCCCGGCGGCAGCAAAATGGACACGGCCTCGATGCTCGACGAGGCCGCCAGCTATCTCCGGTTCTTGAGGTCGCAAGTCGAGGCGCTCGAGGCTTTCGGGCGGAAGTTAGACCGGCGGTCCGATTTTCCGGTCGACGGCCCGAATCTTGCGCTGTTGAACTACTGGCCGCCGCCGCAGTTTTCGGTGCAGGGACCGAAATCAGTTTAAATGATTTCTTTTTTGTTTTTTTATTTTTGTTTTTGTTTTTGTTTTTATTTTTGTTTTTGTTATGAAGTGTAGTAAACATGGTTTTAACTATTAACTGTGACTTTTTGTTAATCATCACTATCATCATTATATGATTATAGTTTGTGGATTTGAGATGGAATGATTTTTTTTATAAAACTTTTTATTGTTGAAAGTTATTGAATCATTTAAGTCATGATTATTGAGTGGTATGATTATGTTCAAGTGGTATTGGAGTTTTTAATCATGAGCATAATCATGACCCCACAAGGCAAGACCATAAAGTGGAACTCAATGTAGTACTAACCTTTTGTTACTATTTGTCTATTTGATTTGTTCCCCTTAGCCTTTATTGTTGCGAATCATGAACAATATTTACCACTAATGCTACATTAATTATTGATTGATTTACTTATTGATTTATTAAAAATACACATGATGAGAATTCAATATTTTTTTATTATAATATATAGTAATAAATTCAATTGTCCAAATTTTTATCAACATATAATTTGGTAAATCGATTGATAAATTAATCTCTAAATTAACTCACTACTTATAGGTTGAGTTCCTAAATTCGATTGGAGTCTCCTCATTTCATCTTCTTGTCTACAATGGAAAGCTTTTTGTATTGTAACAAGTCCAACATTTTTATTATTGGTAGTGTATATACTTTTCAGGCTACACAAATGTTGTTGTTAAGTTAACTAATCCTTAAGCAATCTTACTTTCTTACAAAAAAAAAAATAAAAAAATAAAAAAAATCAAACTTTTATTATGAAATATCATAATATAGTTTATTTTATATTCTGAAGCATGACATTTTACTACGTAAGTATACTCAATTAATATAATTATCTAATCACTAGAAAACTACCTAAGAGAAAGAACTAAATTTAAGCTATAAATTGATAAAGTAAATTGTAACCAACTTTTACAAAAATATTTTAGTAATGTATATCATGATCAAAAGGCATTATATTGCTTAAGACTTATGATTGACTAGATAAAGCGGGGAGAGAAAGCTATTGCAACTTTATGTGATGTAAATACAAAGTTTAAGTATAGTTTAAAGAATTGAAATCCTAATTAATTAAACAAAAGTGTTCACTCTAATCAATGTATAGCAAAACATTCTCTTAATAATGGTGCATTGTAAGTCAGTGGTCTCCTTGATTCAATCCAAGGCGTGGCCCTTGAAATTCACACTCAAAAAAAAAATAAAAAAATAAAAAAAAAAATCAACCTTAATGCTAAGCACATGTTTATTCTTCTTTTTTGGCATTTTCAGTTTTAGAGCTGTGTAGTAATTCTTTGGACGCACGAACCACTTGCACGTGCGTATGTTCATTGTTAGAGACTACTACAAGAAAAACAAATAAACTTAAATAGTTGCAAATTTAGTTTATATGATAAAAGAGTTTGGTAAAATTGGCTCATAAGCTAGCTGAAATAAAAATTTCAACGAGTTTATTTAAAAAGCTACCCAAAGAAGCTTGTGAGATAAGTTCGAGCTTTTTAAAAAAGCTCGTCCAACCAAACGAATCTTATTTAAATACAAGAAACTTATAAGATAACTTATTTAGTAGTCTGAGAATAAGCATTATCATAAGAAAATATGCTATAGCAAAAACAACATTAACCCTAAGGTTGGGAGGAATTTTAAAATCAGTATTCTTCCCCCAAAAGTTGGGGAATTTTCAAATGTAGTCTACCACTTTTGAGAGTGTATAACTTTAATTAAATCATATCTCTAATTACACAACATTGTATTCAAATTGATCACTTTTGAAAATTGAATGACTAATATTAATTAAACGAATTTTAATAGAGTGTATGGTTTCAAGAAAAAAAAAATAGCTAAAAGGAGAATGAAAAACGAGTTAGAGTCGAGGTACGTTCAAAATATTCTTTGTAAGAAATAGAAATTTCTTCATTACAACACATGTTTCTAACATACAATGACTAACATTTAGTATACAGTGGTATTTCAAACACACTAAATTCTGCAAAACCTTATACTATTGTAATTTATATCGACTTTAACTCAATTTCACTATATTCAGTATTATCAATATAATTAAATAATATAAATCAATCTCCCCCTCCCTTATCAACTCACTTTGAGTGACCAAGACTTCCTTACCCACTATTTGACGTTAGTACACTTTACATCAACTTTAATTCAATATTCATTTATTCACATAATTCTAACTATCATTTCACATCACCTCTTCATACTTCTACATCAAAATCTCATTAGCAAAAAAGGTAATACATAATTATTTTATTTTAAATATTATTTTAACATAAACTCAAAATCTCATTAACAACTAATCATATTATATTTTTTAAAATTAATCATAATTAACCAAGTAAACTCGTTTTGAATAGATATATTTGTATCCGAGCTATGTTTAATACAGAAAACGAGAAAAGGGAATATTTTCCAAGATTCGAGAGACTGCATTGTTGATTTAAA